CCAAGGGCAAGGTAATTTAAAAACATAAAGAACTCATCAATGGGCTGCAAAGTACGAGTTGAGGGAGTGGAGTTGAGGGCAGTTCCTCTCTGTCCTTGGCGAACACTGACCATGGATGGCAGAGAGGGCTCAATCATGGCCCAGAAACGCATCAGGAGGTCTTATGATGCAAACCTAAAAATAAAAAAAATACCATAACAGTTAGTGTTCATGTTTAACTACACAGCATAATCAAAATCAAATTAAACACCAGGCCTCGTTTTGAGCACTACACTGTAATACATATGATCAATTTAGAATATATATATATATATATATATATATATATATATATATATATTCACATACAAATAAATAAATATATATATATATATATAGGCACATAGACACAAACATATATACATACATAGATATAAATATCTATATAAATATATGTGTGCGTGTATATATATATATATATATATATATATATATATAGATGTGTGTGTGTGTATAATTTTATATTTAAGTTGCATTAAATAATTTTATAGTCTGTGTGACACAAACGCACGCACACACACACCTACCTTGTGTAGAATCTAATGTCATTGTCGGAGGTTGCAAAACGGTGAATGCTGAACCGCTGCCTCAGCGTCAGGCTCTCAACCTGTTCCCGTAGCTGGCGGATTTCCTCCCGGAGATGATTATTTTCCTCCACCACTAAATCCACAACTGCAGGGTCTGGAGTAGCGGCATATTCGTGATCCTTAAGGACGTCTACACTGGCTGTTGTGCCATCTTCCTCCTCGCTGTCTTCTGGAGGTGGTCTTTCTCTTCTCTCCCAAACCCCGGGTCTTGGAGGTGTAAAGAAGTAATTATTCCACTCAAACAAAACAGGTACAGCTCCCTTTCTTAACCTCCGTCTTCCCATTTCTGATGCTGGCTGTTGAATGTCCTCAGGTTTGAAAAGCCGACTACATACGCGAGTGTGAGCTTTTATAGCTAAGTTTTCCCTGCGGACAGCCACGATCCATTGTCGCCTTAACTCCTCATCAGCAGGAAAATGAAAAAAACTAACTACTCTGTTGTACCTACTGGTTAGTGGACACAACGGCACACAACAGAACTCACTTGAAGTACCAGTAGCTCGCAGATGTTTTACTTTTAGAGTCTTTTTCATGTCTACTTCTAGGAGCTAATGATAAAAACAATAACAGAAGGTAGGAGCCGGAAGTGATCGACGTGGCTTATTTTTTAATGGAAGTACGTCACCACTACCCGTGGCATATAGTCCATTTACTAGAAACTTCAAAATAAATTCTCACCCTGTAGAGACCTGTTTCAAGGTCTTACCGCCACCAGCTGGTAAGGAGCGTGATGTCAATTTGAACACCGCCCACAGGAAGCAGTACTAAAAGCATAATGGAAGCGCGTGTACCGTACCGAGCCAAGTCGAACCGTGCTGTATCGGTACTAAAAGATACTATAGAAAAGGGGCAAAATACTCATATGCTTACTCCCTCAGTAGCTGATACAGCTTTTGACACCTGGGTCTTGAGGGGAGTGCATTCACTGAGTGACCTCTATGTTGATTGTAGATTTGCCTCTTTTGAATAGCAGGTACAGAAGTTGAATATCCACAAGTCTAAAGTTTTTCAGATACTTGCAGCTGTGACTTTTCGTGAGGTCTAACTCGGATTGTTTTCCTTTGTACCCCTCTTATCATTTTGTGGTTAAAATTTTGAAATGCAGGTCTGATACTAAGGGGCCCCTCTGCAAAATCTATACACTGCTCAGTTCATACCTAGAGACCAGTTAGGACTCTTAAAGTGAAATGGGAAAGGGACTTGGAGGACTCAATCTGGCAAAAGATCATTAAACACATTTACTCATCTTCAATCTGCCTGAGACATGCTGTAATTCAATTCAAGGTAGTGCATTGGCTGCAGTGGTCCAAAGACAAGCTGTCCAAGATCAAAGCTGACCTGGACCCCACATGTAATTGTTGTAATCATTGTAAACAAACTCCAGCTACACTCCTGCATACATTCTGGACCTGTCCCAAACTGCAGACACCTTGGCAATCTATTTTTGACACCTTTGTTGGGATATGTGGGAAAACTGTACGCCCATCACCACTCACCTTCAGGGTGGTCCCTGTGGATATGTCCTTCAGCAAGTACAAGAAGGATGTGATTGCTTCTGGGTCTATTCAGGCCAGAAGACTTGTCTTGTGACGTTGAAGGACCAACACTTCCCAGCATATGTGCAGTGGATGAGAGGTGGTGTATCATATTCATTTGGGAAAAATCAGATATTTCTGCAAAATTCCTTCCAGCTGCACATCTGACACCAGAGGAAATAATCATCCAAAAAGTGATTTATATCCAGAAAAAAAAGAGGAATTAAAGTTTTCAAAAGCAATATCTCAGAATGAAAGTAACAGAGCTGCTCCAACATGCAGCCACCATGAGCGGCGCAATTCTAGAATACAGGTTAGTCTTGAGCCACAAGGGCTCGTTTACAAGAGAGACATGTTTTTAAATAAAATGCAAAAATACTGACAAAAGTAGACAATCATAAAAAAGCATATAACATGAAAAGTAAACGGAAGAAATTATATTTAAAAAAACGAAACAAAAACGGGGGCAGCACGGTGGCGCAACTGGTAGAGCTGCTGCCTCTCAGCGAGAAGGTCCTTGGTTCAAACCCCGGTCCAGGGGCCTTTCTGGGTGGAGTTTGCATGTTCTCTCCGTGCATGTGTGGGTTTTCTCCGGGTGCTCCGGTTTCCTCCCACAGACCAAAAACATGCATGTTAGGCTGATTGGTAACTCTAAATTGTCCCTAGGTGTGAGTGAGAGAGTGAATGGTTGTTTGTCTCGTTTGTCTCTATGTGTCCCTGTGATGGACTGGAGACCCGTCCAGGGTGTCCCCCGCCCCTCGCACAGTGATTGCTGGACATGGGCACCAGCGACCCCCGTGACCCAAAATGGAATAAACGGGTAAAGATAATGGATGGATGGATGAAACAAAAACGGCTACATTATAAAGCGATGTAAAATACTAAAAACAGGAATATGTCTGTGTTTGTTTTTGCCATGAACTTAACAGTTGTTTGAAACCCCTTAGAGAGGTCAAGGTGGACAGCTTCAGATATTTTTTGCAAGGTGTTCCAGGATACAAGAGTGGAGTAAGAGAAGGCCCTTTCGCCAAGTTTGGTCTGCACTGAGTGTACACTGCATGTAATTATGTCCTGAGAGCGCACGCTGTAGCTGCACTGACAAAGTAACATATGCCCCTTTTCCACTGTCACAGTGTGGATCAGGTCAGTTCGGGTCGGGTCAGATCGGCTCGTGTCTCGTTGTGTTTCCATTTACACTTCTGGACCAGCTCTGTAGACGGGGACTAGAATCCAACTGGTCTTACCACCTGGTGGTGGTAGTTCTCCCTTAAGTTATTTACTAGCCACCACTAAACGTATTAGAAGAAGAACACCCTGAAGTCTTTGTCACAAGATGTTGTGGAAGAGATGTCATGCTCTGATGGAGTACCTCATGAGCTGTAACTTATAAACCTGATTCATAATCCTACCTTACTGCCTTCCTGCTGCTTTAAACCCATGTGTTTTACATTTTAGTGTAGATTTTTACAATAAAGATGTATTAAAAATATCTTCACTTTTATTATTTGCAGATATGCACAAGGTTTATGTTAAAATTGCAAAACATCACACTGTGCTGTAATCTTTTAAACTGCTTTTACAATAAGATACAGACTTGAAAACAATTTGGTTAAATTTTGTCCTAAAATTTGAAAGGTTTGTCTTTCATTAAATTTAAAAACATAAATGTATTACTTATTAATCTAAAAAAGTTAAGTCTGGTCCTCTGGACATTCAAAAAACAAAAACAAAAAACATTTGTTGTTTATTTATTATAAACTGTATTGTTTGTTTTGTGAATGTCCAGAGGACCAGACTTAACTTTTTAGATTTTTCTACCTGAATTATTGAGCAGCATCAGGATATTAATTAATAAATAGTCAGTTGGTCTGTGAACACCTGAGTGAGTGAGTGAGTGAGTGAGTGAGTGAGTGAGTGAGTGAGTGAGTGAGTGAGTGAGTGAGTGAGTGAGTGAGTGAGTGAGTGAGTGAGTGAGT